AAGCGGCTTTCATCACAACTTACAACCCATGACAGCAAAGCCATGGCACATACAGACTAAAGACAATAGTACGGAAATTGAAACGGATGAAACATTCCCATACACCTTCCACACTTGTCCTATTTGGCCAGTGTCTACAGTACTGCTCATTGCATCCTGTAGTAATGATGAAAGCCGCTTACGATAATTGATGGTTTGTCAGTCAGGTAGACACTACTGAAGCATAGCAAGGAGCAGACCACATTGGTGAGAGACTGGAGTTACAAGAGTACAGACCATGCAAGGACAACAGGTTTCTTCTCTAAAATAGTATCAGTGAACCAGTTACAGTTTCACAATAATCCGACAGCTGTAGCATCATTTAGTTACCAATACCAACTTCCTTCCAGATTTCATAGAATAGTACAGAACAGACAGCCATTCAATGCAATTTTTTTTAAAAAGAAACTTGAATTGAATTCAAATGCTCAAGTTGTGGTTGAATTTGAACTCTTGTTCTTGTAATTACTACCAGGCCAGTAACAATCACACAACCACACTTGCATTCTGAAATAAGAATCAGGTTTTGGACAAATACCAACTACAATGACTGTAGCCTGAAAAGGCTACAGAGTATATTTACATAATATTTAAGATATCCAAGTTGAGTGGAATTTCCAATTTGGGTGATGGGCAGCTGCAAAGTACCATAGTGAATGCCAATGGGCAGCCCTGGATCACAAATAGTTATAGTAATGCCACTAACAAAAAACTTTCAATGCTGGAAATGATTATAGCACAAAAACCTTCAAATCAGTGTTCTCCCATGAAGCAGCATCAAGACTCTTAAACACAAAGGCAAAGAAATAGAAGTTCTAATTCTTGGCCTGCCCTTTTTATTATGGGATCACAGAACTCACAGTAAAAGGAGTTGGCCATTCTGCTTGTTTGGTCTGTTAGCCTTCTGCCCCAACAATTCACTTAGTGCCACTCATCCTCCTCCTCCATGTAGCCCTGCACATTCCTCCTTCAAACAATCCAATTTCCTCTTCAATGCTTTGACTGAATGTGCCTCTATGCTTTGAACATATTTTACATTTCAACCACTCATTGCACAAATTTGTCACACATCTCCATTGCTTCTTTTAAGAATCCAGTAAAATAGAAAGTGGACAGAAAGTAAGATAGTCAGTAAAACAAGATTGATTTGATCTCAAGATTGTACTTGGACACAGTCATCCATTCTTTCAAAGTATACAGCATGTTGAGAACTATTTGGCTATATTTTTCTAAATTCCCAAAGCAGAACTGCAAGTAAAATCTGGGTATTAGTTTCCAACATTTTCCAGACTTATCTAGTGATTGTGTTTACAGCTGAACCTTGAGCTTCAGAAACTGCTTCTAAAAATAATCGTTTGTTAAAAAACCTCATTCACATTCCCTAACTGACCTCTTGTTAAAACAGGCACCAATCATACACTTCCACACTCTTCCCCTCTGACACACCCTACCATTTTAAAAAGAAAGGCCAGTCACTGACATGGCCATTAACCATTTCTTTCAAAATGTGGTGTTTTGCAATTTAGGTTTGTTTATTTCAGGTGGAAAAATATACAATCACTCACCAGATCAAGTTTTGGAGATGATTAAACTATTTATTTAGTAGATACAAGGAACTGGTGGGAAGAGGTGCTGCGGATCAGCTGAGTGTGGTAGCGGGATGGGCGCGCTAGTACAAAAAAGAGCAGGCAGTTGGGCAGGCAGACAAGCGAGAAAAAACAAAACTGATTACACTTAATTAGCCAGATGCAATCCTGCTGAGTGCTGTCCAACTATTTGTAGCTCATCTTTTGCCAATTTCCAGGACAAAATAATCAAGAATCTTTCAAGGAACTGACGGCTCATTCTGGAGTTAAACTATCAGATAAAGTGCCGAGAAAGACAAAATGACCACTCACTTGTGTGACAAAAAGACAGATTTCAGTGAAGGTTTAAAAAAATCATGTCTGATACTATAGTGGTGCAGTGGTAGTATCCCTACCCTGGGCCAGGAGGCCTGGGGTCAAGTCCCACTTGCTCCAGAGTGGGTAATAACAGCTCTGAAGAGGCTAATTAGAAAAATAGATTGAATAATAAAACAAATTACAACATCTGATACAATAGACTATACTTAAACCAAGGAACAAGGTTTCCTCCTCACCTGACTCAGACTGCATCAGCATCTTGAGGTCAAGATAATGCACTGGTCTACAGAGATTACACAAAAAAAAAAAACTTGGAATAAAGCTTGAAAAAAGATAAGTAGGACAATTTCCAATTCTCAGAAATTCTGTGCTCTACAGGAACTCATTCTATCCCTTAAAAATTCATTTTTGAATTACTGGGCAGTTCCAAAAAGATAACTGTCTCCACTAGGTGCAGTTTTTGAGTGGGATTCATGGATTGGATCTGCCCTAAACGAGGCTGTGGATGTGTTGCAATAACCTGAAAATGCAGTGCCTTGTGATAGCTTGTACACACCCATACATCAACTCTTATACATGAAGTAGAAAATGGTTCTGTTTACTGCCCAAAGCTATGTCATAACCATGAGTAGGAGTAACTACTACATTTATTTCAAGTACTCAGAACAGCTGAATGTATCCATTGGAAAATGAAGTGATTTTACGAGACAGGTCATTTCTCTATTCATTGGATAGTGACCACAAAGGGAATGGGGAGGAACCAAGTTGTAGTTATCCAGAAAAAATCCACCAAATCTATAGCTGATAATTGCAAAGAAGAGCGCTTAGGCTCAAGTTTTGATTTGAGTGCATCATTTTCTTGTATCATTAAGGTTCTGAAGACAGGTGAGTGATGCTTCCTGTGGGCTTGCCGTTCGAAGTAAGCACACGCGTATCCAAGTGGCTCAGCTGTACAGAGTAGGCAAAAGTTGAAGGGAATGGGAAAGCAAGAGAATTTAATAAATTACACAAACATTTCTGCAGTCATAGACAATTCCAAGTTGCTATGCTGCTCTTTGGTAATTTAAATATTCCACCGAGCAACTGCAGGGTACTGGGGCACCACTGAACAGCCAGAAGCTGCAGTCTACATCAGTATCAGTAACATAGGAAGAAAGAGAGTAGGTCCTGTAGCAAAATTTAGGGAGCTTGGAGACAAAGATATTAAGAATAGGCCCTCTGAGGAAAGGCAGAAATCTTTAGGTTTTTCCTGAAACGCTCATGAGCATTGAAATCAAAAGATGGAACTGATGAGCACATGGCTGGACAGGCAGAGAAGGAGGTAAGATTTGAGACACTTCTGACGTTGAGACTGGAAATGGGCAGGTGGGATCAGTACAGGCTGAATGGATTGCAACTCAACAGGGCTGGGAAAACATCTTCATAAAGGCTGTTTGTTGTTGTTGGAAAGAGTTTAAGATGAATTCATTTCTGAATTCATTACCACTAGAAAAGAAATAACATGCACAAAAGAACTGTTGTCTGAGACAGCATTGGTGTGTTTTGCGAAGTTAGACTTAATGGAGTACAATTCATGTTAAAAATTAGGTTTGCAGTGCATATGCAAATACAGAAGTCAGCAAAACAAGCAACTGGTGAACTATAGGCACAAATAGGCATATGGTAATATTATGCCATAGTAACAAAATGGCTGGGGAATAAAAAGGGCAGCACTAGTACTGATATTCATGCATATTAGGTGTTTCAGGAAGATGGGGATGAAAATAACAGGTGACTTAGCCATTCAGCCCTTCAAGCCTGCTCCACCATTCACAATGATCATGCTGATTGGATTCGAACTTCAAACATATTTCCACCAACTCTATAACCAGGTAGCAGTCTGAAACCTTCTTCTGAACTGTCTCAATGTATTTACATCTTTCTTAAATAATGTAATCCACACTGCACACAGTACTTCCAAAGAAATCTCACTAGTGTCCTTAAGCATTACCTCTATCTTGACATAACCAGTCTCGTAAAGCCTTCGCATCAATTTTGCTTCATCCATTGCTTCTACTGATGGTTCGTCCTTTTAAATGCCAATATGAAGTACCCATTAAATATTAACAATGTGTCACTTATAAGCACCACCATGCCTCTTACTATCCTTTTACTGTCCACAAATTGGAAAATTTTTGGTTTATTTAAAATGTTAACTGCTTTTTCTATTCTCTTTGCCATTCTCATTTCTTCCCCTGCTCCAAAGTATTTGGCTTGAATTTCACTTCAATACATCGGACATGAACTACACACAAAAATCTTTTCTTGATCTTGCTTATTGCAAGCGATGAGCCCTGGCTTTGGTTCCCTTAGTTTTCTCTTCTTTCACTTCCCCTGCTTGAAAAACAATGGAACAAATCATTAAATGTTAATTGGTTCAAGGAAGGAAATTTGCTCAACTTACTACCAGTGAACTTTAGGAACTCCACTCAGACACCAATATGAATGACTCTTCAATATCCTGCCTTTGAAATCATCTAGCAAGCTTGTCAGTTATATAATCCACTCAAGACAACAAAATACTAGCAATGCCTACATGCAAATAAATTTTTGGAAGTCAAGCAAACTAATAAATTGCAGATCTGTGACATTCAATGCAGCTGTTGTGGTGATCTGGCTACTCATCCCATTTTAAGGAGATTTGATACTTTAAGAACATGGGAAACACCAAGTCACTGTACCTGGCAACTGAAGCAAGTAGTGGTAAGGCTCTAACACGATCCTTTCAGAAGCTCCTTTCTTGTTCTCCATAGTACTGATTTGTACAGACGGGTGTTAATCTGCATTGAATTAAATATGTAGTCAATAACAAATCGCAGACAAAGTATTCATAAGTTGTTACACCAGTGGCATGTCTTCCCGATCATAATGCATCAGTTCTGCTTCATGTTGAACAGATTTAGATTAAATTTCACATATTCAAGTACAATGTAGTCATTAAATGCCACTAATTAGGGATTTGACACTATATCCCTCCAGAAAAACATATGCAGCTTATGAATACTCACTTTTAAGGTGCAATACAGGGAGACAACAGTCTCCCTAACTCCACATTACACCAGCTGCAATGTTACAAGGCAAATCAAAGTCCAAAATTCAGTACTTGACTTTCACAAAAACTTGAAGGATTATCCTATTTAAAAGGTGGCTCTTGAAGGAAGGAAGAGAATGCAAAAAATATTTACCAGCTTAAATTCCAGCAGTGACAACACAAATTGGAAACAGACCAGTGCTGTTGAAGGAGAGGGGTTGGAGTAACAATACATGTTGCTGGGCAGAACACCAAGCATGGCATTGCAGTAATAATATCAGCTAGGACCATAACAAGTCAGATCCCAGAATGAAATGTGGCTTGTTGGATCATAATTTACTTCATTTTTGTTTTAGTGAGGTGGTCTCTCCAAGAGAGAAGCATGTAACTTCGTAAATTTGAGAATGGAACAGAAGTTTATTCAGCAAAAGTAACAAAACAGGATAAAACATTTATTTGGAACATAAAAATTCAGTAATAAACACCTAGTAACAGGAGGCATTTATAATAGTAGGTGTGGGGTCCTAGTTCCTTTTCCCAGCCCTGCAATGAGCTGCATGCTGAGATAAATGACACCGCGACCATCAGAACCAGAAGGTTCACAACAAATTGCTTGCTTCAACGTAAGCAAATAATTATCAATGTTCTGCATCTTGGCAAACCCACAGTTCAAGACAGAAATTGGGGAAAGCTAGCAAAAAAGTACAAAATGACGCCAAATGTCATGTTTATTTTCGGCTTCAAGACAATCCAAAAACACTCCTTTATAGATTTCAAAAATAAAAATGCCTATTACATTATCCAGCAACAACCCTTGTATAATACTCGTGCCAGAGTCCCTTTCTTTAACATCTCAATATATCCCCAGCTAGCTCATTTGTACATTGAGGGTCTTAATCTCACGGTCGTGGGTTCGAGCCAGATGTTGGGTGCCACCATTTTGAAGATTTCAGGCCCTCTTGTGGTGCAATGCTTGGCGGTCTGGATTTCATGTCCCACCTGCTCCAGAGGCATGTAGTAACATCACTGAACAGGCTGATTAGAATAAAAAGGAATAAATAGGTTTAAGCTGTGATATTTCAGGTGTGAGGTAGTTAGAGCTTACACTCAACTTCACATCCTCTTTAGGGTTTTATCCCAAGACCTCTGGTTTATGAACAGCATTAACTCCTTGGACTAAGTAATTCAGTTTACTATATTCCCTTCTCAGGAGCACTATTGTTCTAGACATGCACCATGGGATGACCTAAACAAACAGTTTAAAAAAAACAAACAAAACAACCTCTCTCTCCAGCTTGGGTATTCAGGAGATTAAAAAACTCCTAATAGACCTTAAAGTATAATGGTTACTCTACTACATCCTAATTGGTTTGCTCACTTCAGGATTTTATGTTGCCAAGGTAGCTCTCAAAGTCACCATGGCTACAGAAATACTTCAACTTCAGTCACAGAAAACCCATATCACTAACTCAACTCAAACCCAAGACTTAAACTAAGCAATACTATAAATTGTATAATCAGACAGTTCACACAACACAAGCAAAAACCATTTAGGTCAGACCTACTATCAGTGTATCAACCACAAAATTCAACTGGTTTGGATTGCTAATTCAAGGATTCAATAAATTACTATTAAAGATGTACAACCTTCCACTACTGCAGTTTTGGTTAAAGTTGAATTTCAGCTGGCATTTAACATGAATCCAGTTACTGCAGTGAGAGAACCAAAGTTTATTAAACAACAGTGATGTGCTGTGTTACCAATTCAAAGTACACAGGTTTTCACCCTTGCCCCCTCCAAGAGTTATTGCACAGGGTTTAAGCAGGATTCCATCTTGACATTCCACTATTGGCACAATTAGCTCAATACTTTTGCACAGCTCAGAGCTCACCCTCCTGGCCAAAACGGTTATTTAGTCCCTGCTCTTCGACTGTTACTCTTGTAATTGCTATTTACTGTTACATCGTAAATCAGCAGAACAGCTCACAGCCTGAGGAAAATAACTGACAAAGGACAGGAAAGTTTATTTTCAACTGCCATGTTTTCAATTATCCTCAGGTTACACCACTGTTGATATCATCTTCACTTTCTCATTTTAACCCCACTATGCTCTCAAAGTCACAGCTGGTTAACAATCTGTGGACACAATGCAAACATCTGCCACAGTGGAGACTTCAGGTAATTTGCGTTTTCTTCACTGATATGTAGTATACTCTTGAAAACAGCACAGGACTCTTCTGTACGAGACATCTTCATATTTGCCTAATCCATACAGTCCACTTTAAAACTAGGCAACTTCAAATAGAGTCACAGCTGTACAGCTTGAAAACAGACCCTTAAGTCCAACTCGTCCATGCCGAACAGATATCCTAAACTAATCTAGTCCTACTTACCAACATTTCGCACATATCCCTCTAAACCCTTCCTATTCATATACCCATCCAGATGCCTTTCAAATGCTGTAACTGTACCAGCCTCTACAACTTCCTCTTGCAGCTCATTCCATACATGCACCACCCTCTGAAAAAGTTACTTTTAGATCCCCTTTAGAACTTTCCCCTCTCACCTTAAACCTCTGCCCTCTAGTTTTGGACTCTGCTACTCTAGGATAAAAGACCTTGGCTGTTCACCCCATCTGTGTCCCTCATGATTTTAAGCCTAAAAGGTCACCCCTCAGCCTCCGACGCTCCAGGGGAAAAACAGCCCTAAGCTATTCAGCTTCACTATAGCTCAACCCCTCCAACCCTGGCAACATCCTTAGAAATCTTTTCTGCACCCTTTCCAGTTTCAGAACATCGTTCCTATAGCAGGGAGACCAGAATTGCACATAGTATTCCAAAAGTGGCCTAACCAATGAGCTGTACAGCCACAACATGACCTCCCAATTCCTATACTCTATGCACTGACCAATAGGGCAAGCATATCAAAACACCTTCACTATCCTGCCTACCTGCAACTCTACTTTCAAGGAACTATGAACTTGCACTCCAAGGTCTTTGTTTAACAATACTCCCCAGGATCTTATCAGTAAGTGTATAAGTCCTGCCCCGATTTGCCTTCCTAAAATGCCACATTTAATTTATCTAAACTCAACTCCATTTGCCACTCCACAGCCCACCGGCCCATCTGATCAAGATCCCATTGTACTCTGATGAAACCTTCTTGGCTGACCACTACACCGCCAATTTTGGTGTCATTTGTAAACTTACTAACCATACCCATGTTCACATCTAAAATCATTTAAGTGACAAAAAATGGACCCAGCATCAATTCCTGCAGCACACCATTGGTCAGTTCTCCAGTCTGAAAAGCAACCCTCCTCCACCACCACCACCCTGTCTCCTACCGTCAAGCCAATTCTGTATCCAAATGGCTGGTTCTCCCTCCATTCCATGTGATTAACCTTGCTAACCAGTCTACCATGAGGACCCTCGTCAAACGCCTTACTGAAGTTTATATAGATCGTGCCCACAGCTCTGCCTTCATCACATTCTCAAACGAAAAAAACCAGTTAGTGAGACACAATTTCCCACACACAAATCTGTATCAAGTCTTGCCTTTCCAAATACACAGGAATCCTGTCCCTCAGGATTCCCTCAAGCAACTTGCCCGCCAATGTCTGGCTCACTGGTCTATAGTTCCAGGCTTTTCCTTACCACCTTTCTTAAATAGTGGTAACATGTTAGCCAAACTCCAATCTTTCAACATCTCAAATGTGGCTTATCAGCAATCTCTTCCCTTGCTTCCCAGAGTCCTAGGGCACACCTGCTCAGGATCTGCAGATTTATCCGCCTTAATGCATTTGAAAAACATCCAGCAACAACTCCTCTGTAATATGGCCATTTTTCAAGACGTCACTATTTCCCCAAGTTCTCTAGCTTCCATATCCTTCTCTACAGGAAATACAGATGCAAAATACTCATTCAATATCTCCCCCATTTCCTGCAGTTCCGCACACAGGTAGCCTTGCTGATCTTTAAAGGGCCCTATTCTCTCCCTGGTTATCTTTTTCCTTCACTTATTTGTAGAAACTTAGTAGATTCTCCTTAATCCTATTTGCCAAAGCTATGTCCCTTTTTTGCCCTCCTGACTTCGCTGTTAAGTATACTCCTACTGCCCTTATACTCATGGGATTCACACCATCTCGGCTGTCTATACCCGACATGTGCTTCCTTTTTGTTAACCAAAACCTCAATTTCTCTAGTCATCCAGCATTCCCTACACCTACCCTCATTTTTGAGGGCTTCCTACTTCCCAGCCATCTCTTTACCTGTGAATATCCACCCCACAATTAATTCTGAAAGCTCTTGCCTAATATAGTCAAAATTGGCCTTCCTCCAATTTAGAACTTCAACTTTTAGATCCAGTCTATCCTTTTCCATCACTATTTTGAAATAAATGTAATTATGAGCACTACCCCCAAAGTGGTCCCCCACTGACACCTCAGTCACCTGCCCTGCCTTATTTCCCAAGAGTAGGTCAAATTTTGCATCTTTTCTAGTAGGTACGTCCACCTATTGAACCAGAACATTTTCTAGTAGACACTTAAATTCCTCTGCCTCCAAACCATTAACACTATGGCAGTCCCAGACATCTGGAAAGTTAAAATCCCCTAACATTACAACTGATTCTTACAGATAACAGATCTCATGTATTTGCTTCTCAACTTCCCGCTGACTATTGGTCTGGGTCTACAATACAATTCCATTAAGGTGATCACCCTTATTTCAGTTCCACCCAAATAACTTCACTAGATGTACTCCCAGGAATATTCTCCTTAAGTACAGCAATATGTTACCCCTAATCAAAAATGCCACTCTCCTCCTTCCACCACCCCATCCCCCCACCCCCTTAAACTCCTTCAGATAGCATCTATACCCCGAAACATTAAGCTGCCAGTCCTGTCCATCCGAGACACATCTCTGCAACTATGGATATTCCAGTCCCATGTTCCCAACCATGCCTCAAGTTCATCTGCCTTACCCGGTAGGCCTCTTGCACTGAAATAAATGCAGTTTAATTTATCAGTCCTATCTCATTCTCTACATTGTTCCTGTCTGCTTTGACCATTTGACTTGCTCCTTTTCCCAACTGCACCAGTCTCAGACTGATCTTGTTTCTCACCTGGGTCTCAAACCATGCACACACACCCACAACACCCCCCTCCCCCCAAAAATTAGTTTAAATCCTTCTGAGCAGCCCCAGCAAATCTCTCCTGCCAGGGTACCCTTCTCCTCTACACCAGTTCCCTTAGCCACACATTCATCTGCTCTATATTCCTACTCCTACTCTCTAGCTCACAGCACCGGGAGTAATCCAGATATTACTACCCAAGGACCTACTTTTTAAATTCCTGCTTAATTTCCTTTATTCTCTCCAGAACCTTGTTCTTTTCTCTTTCTATGTCGTTGGTTCCAGTGTGTATAACAACCTCCTGCTGATTCTTCTCCCCTTTGAAAGGATTCTGCACCCAAGATATTCTTGATCTTGGCAGCAGGGAGGCAACACCATTCCAATATCCATTTTTGGCCACAGAAACATCTGTCTGTGTCTGACTAGAGTCCCCTATCACAATTGATTGCTTGGAACCTGACAGACACCTCCTTACAGTAGAGCCAGTCTCAGCACCAGATACTGGTCTGTCAGCGCTACATTAGTCTTGAGTCCATCTCTCCCAACGTTTTCCAAAATAGCATACTCGTTTGAGATGGGGATAATCACCAGAGACTTCTGCACTACCTGTCTACCCCTTCCATCTTTCTTGGATGTAACCCATCTATTTGGATATCCGCAGTTTTTCTCTTCCCAAAACTGCCATCCATCACACCCCTGGCACCTGTGAATTCCTCTCTGCCTCCAAGTGCTGCTCCAACCAATCCATGTGATTCAATATGATTCGCAACCAAACACTTTCTGCAGGCATAATCCTCAGGAACAAAGATTCTCCCTAATCTCACATCTGACAGGAACAGTACATCATTCTATTGAATGCCACCTTTGGACCTGGCCCAGAAAATAGCAGGCTTAATGCTCTAAAAACACCGCTCCAGGCTAACTTAGCACCTATGGTTTTATATTTTTCAAGTATA